TCAGGAGACAAAAAAGCATTCACTGAAACAGTAAAACTAATTCATAAAGCTGAAAGACAATAAGGAAGCATTATGGATTTTTTAAAAATGTATTGTAGATGAACTTAATTGTGAAAAATGTAAACAGTTGGGATGCAAAATATAAAAGAACCCTACCATATCAAATTCATTTATAGTGGAAAAAGTTCTACTAGAAACAAGAATTATAATAAAATATAGAAGTAATATGCGTGATTTGAATCTTTTTTGTTTGCTTGTTTCTTTATTAGTTAAATAGGTTCAAACCAATAATACTGCTGATCAGAAACATTAACATAAGACCACAATTAAAGAACAAAAAAGCATTAAAAATGTATACCACATTATAGGAATATACTGATTCATGTGTGTAAATTCCAAGTGATATACTTTTTTTTGGAAGGGGTAGTTTCAGTTTATCCGATACCAGGATTTAGCTCCAGGTCATCTTCCATTAATGCATTAAACTTAGTTGTGGAGGAGGCAGAGGACTGGAGGAAATGGATAAAAGAACTTCCGAAACTGTTCTCCCAACATATTCAGGCAGCCAACAGAGCATTGCCTTGATAAGAGTTGTATTGGACTGTTGCCATAACTTTTCATGTTACATCAGTTCTTCCAGTGCCTATTCCCTCCCTACCTTTTAAAGCATGATATGTAACATTTTGTTTGAAAATTGTTTCTACCTCTGTGCTTTGTTATAGCTGTTTTGCAGTTTGGTGGAGACGGCAGTACTGTGTCATAAGAAATTACTAAACTGGGGTTTGAGAAGGGACAGTTTAGCCTTCCATTATCTCAGCAGCAAGCTCTGTACAGGATTATTTTAAAATTTTCTGCAACCATTACAATGTGCTGGTATAGTGGGCAAGGCAGTGAAGTGTTTTTGGTACTTGGTTACCAAGGCAGATAAGATAAAAGTGTATCACTGTCCTGGCGTCCAGCATTTGCCATCAGCGGTGGAAAATTTGATGAAAGGAGTACATTTGGACTAGGAGTATCATTAAGATATGAGACTGGACGCTTTCCATCTGTATTTACTGTAGAGTTTCTCTTTACCCACTGACTGTAGTCCAAGAAAAAAAATATTGATTGTGTAGCTAAACATGTTCCTCACTGCATTAAAAAAAAAGTCTTAAAGTCAAGAATGCTACTCTCTAACTACAGGTTTATAAAACTGTGAAAGGAGAACTTGATGGAAAGTTACATTTTTCTCCCTGTCACTTTGATTTCTTTGTTACTAATAAAATGACTGCTCTGACTCATATTTTGCATAGTTATTTTTACCTTTTCAAATGTTCCTTAACTGTTCATATTACCCTGGGCAAATCCCTGTGGGATAATTTTCATTTGCATGCTGACTTTGATGGGGTTATTAAGCAATCACTTCTGTACTAAGTCATTATTAAAAGTAATACTACAGAGCATCAAAAACATATTAATAATGCCAAACAATCCACATTTCAGTACTAGAGCTCTAGTAAGGAAAAAGTGGTAGGTTTCCTAGTTACAGAGCAGAATTGGCTGTACAATCTGCAGTGGTCCTATCAGCTGTAAGAGAGGAGTGCTCATCACAAAATAATGGGATCAGGTTCTTAGTCCTTATTTATTGTCAGCTGTGTTCTTTTACATGTATGTTTCCTTGCCTGCTAGGCTGCCTTTCCCCTGGATTCACCCTGTGCCTCTAGCCTTAACAGGAAAGCTGGTCTGCATTCTCCCAGTATACATGGGCTGGATTGATTCTGGGAAGGAGGGTCAACCTTCCTATACATAATCACTGTTTTATGGCTTTCACTCATTCTTGAGGTGTTAATGCAGATCAAATGGAAAACACTCCAGAAAGGACGTTAGAGCTACTGAACTGCCCTATAGATGGTCCTAATCGTTAATTCTTATTGTAAGATCTAAAGGTAATTTTGTTTGCTCTCCTAATGCGTTGCAGTTCTCCCAGTGGTCCTACCATATCCTTTCTCAAATTCCCATCTTGATCAATTGTTTGCAAATAATTAAGCTTTTAAGAGATAATGGTATGAGGCTAATGTACACAACAAAGTAAAGGTCTCAAGTCACTGTTTATTGAACAGTGGTCCAATTTGCTTTGATATCCTGAAGTGATCTGAGTGATAGGGATATTTGCCAACTGGAGTCACTGCTCCATTTATAAGTGACTGTTTTCTTTTAAAGAGTGTCTTTGCCCCTTTTAAACAAAAACAATAAGAGGACACTGTCTTAGAAACTACCTCTCACTGTTACATGTGTGAAAAGAGGTTTAGCAGCAATACCTTGGAGTGAATTTCCTATTTCTTCATAAAATGGCAGTTCTCTGGGTTCCCACTTTTATCTCTGTTGCAATGTGATGTCTGCCATTGCCTGTAGCAGGGGCCTTACTAGCCCTGTGGGTGGGAATGCAACAAGGCTTTGAATGTTTTTGTAGCAACTTAGCCTGTGGCATGTTGACTCTTTGTCAAGTCATTTTTTTACCCTACAAAGGAACAACTCAGACTATCCACAAAAAGCTTATATAATAAGGATGCAAAGTGTTTACAGTATTTTAAACATATTGCATTTCATTCAGAAAGACAGAACGAAAGAAAGAAAGAAAGAAAGAAAGAAAGAAAGAAAGAAAGAATGAGCCTACTTCATTGTGAACTTTTGGCTAAGAAGGATTAGCTACATGAAGTCATGGCTTTCATGTGATTATAGCAATTATAGATTTTCATGAAATTCAAAGTTTATGCTACACTAAGCCAATAACTGGACTATGAAAAAAATCAGATGACCTTAAACATACCATGGTTTAAGGAATTTTGTTTTTATACTTTAAAAGCAATTATTTTTACAGTAGCTGCATTATTCTAGTGGCTAATTTTATCCAGTCTTGTCTATTTGGAAAAAAGTCCAGAACAATTGAAAATTGCTTAATGGAGACAGACTTCTCAATTCCAATAGCTAGAGGCTGTCTAGTAATTATTGCTTGCTGAATGAAAATAGACACAGTTTGTTCAGTTACTTAAAATCAGATCACATGTAAGGTGGCAAAGCAAAAATAGAAAAAAGAATAACTTTTTCCTTTTATGACAGTAAAGTAATAAAATGAGAAATAAAGATAAATACATGAAAACTCACAAGTCTGCAATGTAAGCTTTTGACTGGAATGTTGAGGTTATTTCAAGCTGAATGGTTCAATTTATTCTGATGGACTACAGTCAGGTTGATGGACACAGGTAAAAAAATACAACTGTTAGCTACCTAGAATGTAAGTACAAACATGCTTCTGAAAACAGCACAAATGAACTGTGGCAGTAGTTGCAGTGAATCAAAATGTAAATGGCATTAATATTGTGACTGTAGACAGTAAAGAACTGTGAGGTGGCCAGGCAATTCAGTAAGCAGAGGCTATTGGCACATTTAATGAAATTAAATTGTTTCCATGAAAGTTCTCAATGGATGTACAATATTTCTGCTTGTAAAAATAGTTACCATTAATTGAAATGTTTCTTATTAGCACCTGTAATTAGCTCTATGGAATTGGACTGGAAGCATTTTAAAAAGGTAAACCTGTAGTGGTATATAAAAGTATGTAGGATATACTTGGTTTTCTATATTTAACTGTAATATTCCATCAGTGGAGATTTTTTGTGGCAAAGGCATAGCCTATTGAAAAAGGAATCTATTGTAAAATGGGTTTTTTTGCCACTCAATTGGGCGCAGACTAACAATGGAAAGCAAATAAAGTTACTATGAGGTCTATACTTTGGATTAGGTAATTCAGTAAGGTAGCATATCTATTAGATTTCATATTCTGTGGTTCACAGGAATATGCAAAAGCTGCAAAATAGTTATGACAGCAGTAAGATTTCTGTATTTTATGAGGTTTATAAATTCTCACATTAAAAGGCCTTGGCTTACCTTTCTTGGAATATTGTATTTAATAATAAATCCAAAAAAAGTGAGAATGTTTTTGGAAAATGGATTGTGTATAGTACAACAAAGAACATTGCTTAACAAGAAGTGTTAATATGCTGTGTGGACAGGTCCAAACTATCTCACCATACAATTTTGCTGGAGTTTTAAATTACTTTTATTTTCCTTTTATTTTCCTGCAATGGGCGAGTTTTAAGTTCAGGTTATTCTTGCCTTTAAATGTAAAAGCAGTAGTAGTCGTACCTTCAGTATAGGCCAAGGACAGATTACCCTAAACAACAAGTTACTTTCCTAAAAAATTGCTGGATTTTAGCAATGAGAACAATGAAACAAATGATACTGCTGGTTCTATTCCTAAATTCACACTATGATGTGATTTTTGCTGATAACTTATTAAGCAATTTGTATTCATGCAGAAGTGAATTTTCTGAGAAAGCAATTAAGTTCTCACAAGAAACTTAACTTATGATTTAATTTTAACATTATCTTCAATTAAACTGGTATTTATTTTCTGTCTCTCATGATTAGTGCAGAACAGCTATGTTAATGTCAGGCAAAAATGTGCTGATCATTGACCTTATATTGGCCTGTGTTCAAAATCCCAGCATTTGTTGATGTTCAAGATGCTGATGTTATTTGCAAATTATTTTGGGGCAGAGACAAGATTTGTCTTGGTTAAATGAGATTCTGTCAATGTATTAGATGTATTTACAGTTTTATAGTTTTCCTTGATACTCTGTGAAATGCAGAGAAAGATTATGTCTTCGCTTTAATCATTCATAATAGGCAAGTACAAAACTTTGTGCTACGGCAACAAATATCCTTCTTGAGTATCAAGGTACTGGCAGTATCCTAAGCAGTTATTTCTACACTTCACTAATCTTTATAATTGGCTTGTCTTTTACTGCCATTAATTAAATGATCTAGTAGCCCATTAATAATTATAAAAGAGTGACACACCTCAGTATTTTCACCTTTTAATAATAGATGTCATACTTCTTATATTAATAAAAAAGCAGGCAAAACCATTGTTTTAAATATATATATTTATTTTGTTATAGCACCCGTATCCTTCAGAAGAACAGAAAAAACAGTTGGCACAAGACACAGGGCTCACTATACTTCAAGTGAACAATTGGTAAGTAATTTTGCTTGGTGTTTACATACAATCAGTACTCTAGCCCCTGGCAACCTGCAGCTAATGATTTGCATTATGATGACACACCCTGCAGTTGCCTGCTTTTCCTAGAAGTTTATTGATGCAAAAATGATAGAGCTGCAGACTGGTTTCAGTTATGGGCACTAGTAGTTTTACTGCTGCAGAAACAAATCATGTTTACTTGCCTACTACTTTTTAAGTAGCTATATTTCAGTATATATGCATTTGTTTGTTGTAATATAATCTTCAATGTAAATATATCTACATAGCCATCCTTCAGAAAATTAGTCACCCAAGAGCTAGAAAAGTTAAGTGACATATACACCAGTCTGCCCACTTTCTGCAACTGTATTAATTCTGAGTCCAACATTCTTATTATCAACTTGTGTTTTCTTGACTGAGAAAATTAATCTAGAATGTCATCAGTATACTTTTTTTACTTTGAAAAAAAACCCTAAAAGGAACTTTAAGGAATTATTTTTCTTTTCCCACTAAAAGATTGCAGGAGAAAATGTTATTTAGTTATGCTTAAAGAAAGGATGATAGAGGTAGATGGCTTTGAAAATGAAACCTTTGCAGTTCCTAAAGCAGATTTTGAGTTGCTAATTATATGAAGCAGGCTTCTGGATCAGGAAAAGTGTTCAGATTTAAGTACAAAAATATAGTAGCAAGGTTGTTGGGGTTTTTTTAAGTATGATTTATTACTCTTTGTTGCTGCACTGAAATTCAGGTTTCATACAATATATTAGAACAAGTGTCATATTTGAAGTGTATTGAAATCTAAAACCCTGTAAAACTAAGTGTATCTAATTAATTGTCCTAATATTTTTAGATTAGTGTTTATGATGGGAAACCTTATCCTCTTTGAAGTAATACCCAGAAAATGGGCAAAGCAAGCAGCAAGCCTGCTGGGGAAAAGGGAGGGAGGAGTGCCAGTTTGCAGACAAAAGTATTTTTTTCCCATTCAATAAGTGTCAGAGATTAATATTACTGAAGCTCTGATTACATGGCCTAATCCATTTTAGCGAATAAATTTGGTCTTGATGTCCATTGCACCTACATTAACAAACCCTCCTCAGTTAGAGAGAGTAGGAGCCTATGGGAGAGATTTCAGATATATTAAACCCCATTACAGAAAATGTAATTTCTGTCAATATAATCCCATGTATTCTTCAGTTTAGTACTTTAGAGATAACAAGCTACTTACAATATATTTGCCTTTGGAGGATTAATTTACAAAGTGCACTATCTGTGAGACACAGGCAGACTCACATAAGCATAGCTTGTAAGGGTTATCAATTTCTGTGACCTCACAGCAGCCCTGGGAGATCAATTTTTTTGCATCCCTTTAAGACACCGAATAAAGGAAGGGACAGAATACTTTGTATGTTCAACTGAACATACACATATTTACTTTAAAAGAGAGAAATAATAAAGTCTTAAAAAAAAATTTAAAAATATATTTTCATAGCAAATATGGACTTCAGTATTCTAGATCAACCAGGAGAAAAAGAACATTTATTGCCCCAACCTTTGTCCAATCAATACACTAATTTATACTGTTGTCCTTCAATTGAATGATAAGTAGTTTTATCCATTTTAGGAGCCACGTGAATTTACCACTGCCTGTATTTAATGATACGGTTGAGTAAAAGATTGTTGCTGTGGGACGGTTCTCAAAATGTGTTGCTGTGTGCAGCTGATACATCATCACATACCATGCCTTACTTGAAACCCTGTTCCTACAGGTGCATTAGCTTTTCTTTCCATCTTATATCTGCAAGTAAAAATAGTCTGGTAGCGCAGCTACTGTATGTGTGTCATAGGGATGGTTAAACTGTTCTGGCAGGGATGTATAACAGCCCTCATCAGAAATCTCGTGTTGGGAGAACCTTACAGGACTGATACTGTGAAAGAAAGTCTGACCTGGGAAGACAGATTAAAAAAAGTAGGTTCTTTCAATCAACAAGAGAGAGCATGAATGGAGGATTTGACTAAAGCATATGATTTCCTATGGACAAGTGTGGCAGTTTAAAATTGGCCACTAAAGAAGTTTTTAAGAGCTAATGAACACAGCATGCTTTGAACTAAAGCTAGTAGGTTTTTTCTTGAGTGACATTTTGGTCTCTCTTTGTACCCATCTTGCCTTATGTATGAAAAGTTCTATTTTGGCTTTGTGTCAAATACATCTTTATAAGTTCCTTATGTGCACAAAAAAAAAATAAATCTAGGTCAAAATACATTATAACTGATGTCTCCTGGATGTAGGGCAGTCATACTGCTTGTGCTAGCATGATTATGCTTCCATGGAGTTACACTTAAATTATGGTGTTTGTTCTTGAGACAATTCCCCCCTCCTTGCCTTCCCCAAAATTAGAGAGTACATCAAGCCCATCAAATACATTTTTAATCGTGTATTTATGTATGTTTTTCTAGTGATTTTGATGGGCAAAATGTAGTATACAGGCTTCTTACCTGTTAAAAAAAAAAACAGGTCCAAAACGTCTGAGAGGGCAGGTCACGCACAAGACTATTTTATAAAACAACAGCCCGTGGGATAAACATGGAATAATTCATCTGCTCCCCAGTGTTGGGGAGTCATGTAATACTCTCCCAACATTTTTGTTAATACGTTTTTTATAATGTGGTATGCATGAGAACATTTTTTTTTCTTAAATTGTTTGCTTCAGGGAACAGCTAACATATCATTTATGGTTTACTTTGCCTTTCTTCAGCTGGCTCATAAGTCATTCAGCCACAACTTTCAAAAAAATTTGCCTTCCCTTCTTAGATTCTTCAAAACTTGTTAACACACATGTACATTTTTGTATTAATGATGAGTCATTGTAAATCACTGTTGCAGAGATTAAATGAAATGCTGAAGGGCAGCCTGGGTGCAGATCAGTCATAAATTATTGGCAGCAACACAGCATGTGGGAATACATGAAATGTGCATGAAAAACATAAACTCATGTCTGGTAGCATGGTAGTTAGCCCAGACAGGGAATGTTGGATTTTCTGGATAGAATTATAACTTTGCCACAAAAAAGTCAGTGAAGAGAAGGTTTGTTTTATGCAGCTTGAAAACATTTGAACTATTTTTTCTGTCATATTTTGGATGCCTTTGCAACAAATGCTTGTTTTGTACTTTAATTTTCTGTTAAAAAACTTAATGAAAAGATACTGATTTTCCATGCACACACAGAATGATGTCTCGTTGTTGCCTCACCTGACACAACTCCCAGTGGTGGTAGATGAAGGGTGCATGCATGGACTGAAGGTGTGAGATGTGCTACAAAATGTACCCGTGGCTGAACAGATATCTTAAAAATGCTGTGGTTTTGAACTGAAATATTTTTGATGTTGGAATTGCCACGTAGGTAATTTCTATAAATATTCTGATTGCAAACTGAGCATTCTTTTGAACTGTCTTCTGCAATAGTTGGGCAGAAGGAGACATTACTGAGTGACAACGTTATTGCTGTAGTTACTATGATAGCAGAGTTCAATAAGCTGTTAGTCTATATCAACCACTGAAATCTTTGTCTTGTTAGTCATTTAACCCCTTAGAGGTTTAGGGTTCAGATCATGGGAATATGAACCAGAAGGGGCAGTTGTATGACCTTGACAGTGTTGCATATATGGACATAGAGAGAACCCAACAGAGCAGAGGTTAATGAGGTACTTTTCCCCTGTGATAAAAAACTACTGCTCTGTGATTGAAACATCCAGAAGGTGTGATACAATCATTTATTACCTTAGCAGAGAGCTAGAATAGGGTATATTGAACAATCTATACAATTTCCTTGTTTACTACATCCCAACTGACTCTGTTCCTGTTAAGAACTAATGTTAAATAATTACTTCTGGCACTTCGAGGAGGCAAAGCAATCCTCATCAAGTGCTACAAAAGTATAGAAGCATCTCTGTGTGTTTTTATATTGGCATACATCTATAGAACTATATAGAGGTGTGTAAGTATTTATGTGTATATGTATATACAGATGCATATAAATATAGATAAATAACCCTTTTCTGAATATTTCTATATTTCTATAAAGTCCAACACTCAAAAATTGCAAAACACCAGTTGCTTTGCATAATTATAGCATATTTAATTATGTGATCTCATACTACTTTTTCTACAATATCCTTGTTTCATTTAGTGCCTGAGATGGAAATTTTGCAATGAATGAGCAGTCACATGCTTGAAATGAACAGCCATCCACTATTTTGTTTTATCCTTGTTGTTCAAGCTTGCTTTGCAGCATGCTATTCAAACTTTTTCTGAAGACTGAATTATTCATTTCCTCATGGGCTTTTCTGCCTCGCTCATCACTGTAGAAACTGAGTGCTTTACAAACATTAATTTAGCTTCCTAACACCACTGTGAGGTGAGAGGATGTTATTATCCCCATTTTATATCTGGAAAATTGAGGCACGGAGAGATTAAGTTCACAGTTTTCCATTAATTTTGGTGTCCAATTGAAGATGTCTAGGTCCTAAGCTTTCTGAGAACTGAGTAAAGTAAAGTATGTTAAATGTTCCAAGCATACCTTTCATTGACTGCAGTTGCAACTGTGTGTAATTAGCATGTCTGCAAATCAAATCTCAGGGCTCCAGTTTAGGCACCCAGAAAATGAACATATAGGTGAGAAGTAGACGTTGCTAAATGAAACAGATTAGCTGTGTCAGGATGTGTCCAGGCACACCTGATCTACTTCACTAGGTAAAACACATTGCCTGTTGTCCCACCTGTTGATCTTGTGTGACAATAGATATGTTTTCCTGGGGCCTGATGGGCCCAGTCCCGCACCCCCTGGGAATTCCTGCTCAGGATCAGGACCTTCAAGCTCTGGAGCACCTGCCCAGCTTTTCCCTCTTCCAGAGATGCAGTTTGGGAAATCTCCATGGCATGTCTCAAAGTGGGGAAAGTCGGCTCCTATGGGGTCCCAGGGCTGGGACTGCCAATCACCTGA